CAAATCATTTATCCTGTCACTCAATAGCCTCAATTATTATGTAGACATACATGTACGTGTATCAATGAAATCTCACTTTGACATATCACTACATCTCCACCATCATATTATTATTGTTACTTAATTTTTTATGTGGTTATATGTAGTATTGTGAAATGATTTTAAGATAACAAGCCAGTATGTTTCTTTTTTTTCTAGTGATTGTAAATAGTTTGTAAGTATGATGGAAATAAATGCTTAGTTGAAATGAAGAGATTTGGAATAAAAGAGGAAAACAAGCGGTAATTTTTTTTCCACAGATAACAATAAATTACAGCAAGGTTTGGCAGCGTCTATATTGGAGGAAAGAAAGAGACGAGCTGAGAGCCAAACCTTCATGGGACGGTTACAGCAGAACTTGGAGACATTGAATATGGCCATTCGTCTTGACGTTCCAGGGGATGGAAATTGTTTTTTTCACAGTGTTGTCGATCAGATGAAGCGACTGTCCATGCCTGAAGTTCCAAGTGCTACACAACTTCGAAAAGAGGTGGTTGATTTCCTTCGAAATCTGGTGAGTAATGTTATACGCTCTTTATTTGGTATATAAGTTTTCATTTTCTAAATTATGAAGCTTACAAAAAACACTTTAATGTGAATTTAAGTCTTTTGTACGAAATTATGGAATAAAATAATTCACATAAATAACTTAGTTTTTCTAGTCTTTAAATACTTTTTATGAGAAATGTTATGGCTGGAGGTAAGCTTTAATTGTAGGCTTTGTGGCAAAATATAATGATTAGATTTCAAGCTGGTAGTTTAGTCTTTATAGGAAGTGAAATACTGTTTCATTGATTTAGAGGGATTCAGTAGAAAGTTTGTGAGAAAGTATATATATCTCCAATACCTCAAATAACAATATTCCTGAATCTTGTCGTTCCACATATAATTAGCTGGTTGGCCTACAGCCCAATATGACCCACTTTGTCTAGCTTTGTGAATGGTCCGTTATTCAGTAATTAAAACAGTTTTATAAATATGTTTATTACATACATTATTATAATGATAATATAAAGGATACATTAATTGTTCTCTTTTCAGGAAGAATCTGATCCTCTAGCGTGTCATGTTGATCGGCGATTTTTGATGACGATGGCTCAAAATGGCACCTGGGCAGATCATGTTGTTGTTCAGACTACAGCAAGATTGTTACAGCATGACATGTGGATTGTGACAAGCCAAGAACAAAGTAGCAAACAGGGATGGCTAATGAATAAAATTCAATGTGGGGAGAGTGGTGAGCCATTGCTTTTGGGTCACCTGGGAGAACACCATTACTTAAGTCTTTGTAAGTTCTAATGTTTTATTCATTATATTTACTTCTGTAGATATTGAAAATAACGATTCATTGTTTATGTACAACTTTTAGTATCGTAATATATTAAACTATCAAACCTGTATTCATTCTCTTGGTATGTTGTGGAATTCAATGAAGGCGTAGATTTATAACTCTTCAAGTCAGCAAGAGCTTCCTGACTTATACATGCAATTTTTGTGATGTGCTTTCATGGTAGGAAATAATGGCAGCAAGAGATTTCTTAGAAATTTAATTCAGTTGTCTTTTTCGAAAATTACAAATTTCTAACTTATTTGAAATGAATCATCATAAAGAAAAGTCAAAACGCTTATTATTCTTATCATTCCAGCTTATAAGCAAAGCTCCCCAGTGTGTGTTGTGGAACCACTGCCTCTACCAGACCAAACTGTTGATTCCTCAGTTTTCCCACCAAACCAACCTGTGCATATGTCTGATGTTTCCCCGTCAGACCAACCTGTGGATTCGTCTGTTTCCCCGCAAGACAAACCTGTGGATTCGTCTGTTTCCCCGCAAGACAAACCTGTGGATATGTCTGATGTTTTTCCGTTAGACCAATCTGTGGATTCGTCTGTTTCCCCGCCAGACCAACCTGTGGATTCGTCTGTTTTCCCTACAGACCAACCTGTGGATATGTCTGATGTTTCCCCGTTAGACAAACCTGTGGATCCGTCTGTTTTCCCTACAGACCAACCTGTGGATTTGTCTGATGTTTCCCCGTCAGACAAACCTGTGGATTCGTCTGTTTCCCCGCCAGACCAACCTGTGGATTCGTCTGTTTCCCCGCAAGACAAACCTGTGGATTCGTCTGTTTCCCCGCCAGACCAACCTGTGGATTCGTCTGCTTCCCCTACAGACCGGGCTGTGGATTCGTCTGTTTCCCCGCCAGACCAACCTGTGGATTCGTCTGTTTCCCCGCCAGACCAACCTGTGGATTCGTCTGTTTCCCCGCAAGACAAACCTGTGGATTCGTCTGTTTCCCCGCCAGACCAACCTGTGAATTCGTCTGCTTCCCCTACAGACCGGGCTGTGGATTCGTCTGTTTCCCCGCCAGACCAACCTGTGGATTCGTCTGCTTCCCCGCCAGACCAACCTGTGGATTCGTCTGCTTCCCCTACAGACCGGGCTGTGGATTCGTTTGTTTCCCCGCCAGACCAAACTGTGGATATATCTGATGTTTCCCCACCAGATATAGATAATACAGGTATCTCTGCTGGTAGTTTTTATATGTTGTGTTTGCATCGTTAAGATCTTTCGAAATCATTGGGAAAAAGCGTGAGAGTCATCAGTAACCACCGTATTTGAAGAATGGCTCAGGCACAGCCGTTAAACCAAAGAACACCTCAATCTCCACTTTAGCAGAATTTAGGATGGAGCTGCTGAATGTGAAAAAAACAGGAAATTTGATTTGCGTGGCAAATTCTCTTACTGCAAATCAAATTTACACACTACATATTAACCGCGCAAAATATTACTTAAATGGGTGGTTTTGTTTGTGGTTGAAACCACCCAACGACGAGGGGTACACTATTTTGGCTGCTGGTTTTTGAAGATAATGAATATTTTTAGTCACTGATATGTATTGATCTCTTTTTATATTTATCATTCATTTGTTTTTTACAGATGTGTTAGACATTTGCGACTTCGTGAAACACTCCGTACATGTACATGATGAAACCAAGGTTGCCCTAATTGAGAAAAGGATGCCACCAAAAACCTTCAAGTACCCTCCTAGATTGTACAAAGATAAAGAGAGAAAGGACGGTACAACGAGGCGCTACTGCAAAAGAGAGTGGCTGGAGACATTTGAATATACAGCCTACTCGAGGAAACAGGATGGCATTTACTGCCTCTCGTGTGTGTTGTTTCCTTCTTCTGCTCATCGCGGAAAGCGGGCATCTGTCCTCATCACTTCCCCATACAGATCTTGGAAAGATGCAAAAGCAGACCTCCCAAAACATGGAACTTTAGATTATCATAAAGATTCTTGGGCCAGGTTAGTGGAATTTTCTCGCACCATGAAGAGGCCATCAACTCGAATTGATTTAACTTTAACAAAGGGTGCTGCACAACAACTTCAGAAGAATAGAAAGGTCTTGACTTCTGTACTGAAGTGCATTGATGTGTGTGGGAGACAAGGGATAGCACTGCGAGGCCACAGAGATGATGGCTTGGAGATTGCTTCTGACAGTACTAACCTTGGCAATTTCAAGGCTCTACTCGAATTAAGAGTAGATGCAGGTGATGTTGTTTTACGCGAGCATCTAGAACACTGCCAACGAAATGCAACGTACATATCCAAGACTTCCCAAAACGAACTTCTTGATTGCATCAAGAAAACAATACAGGATACCATTGTCAAAGAAATCCAGGATCAGACGGAAGGTGCCCTTTACGGTATGAGTGCTGATGAAGTGACAGATGTCAGCAACTGGGAGCAACTAGGCATAGTCGTCAGGTATGTAAAGGACGGTGCTCCCGTGGAGAAGTTCTTACAGTTCGTTCCTTGTGAAAAAATTACTGGAAGTGCAATTTGTGGAGAACTTATCGCGACTTTAAACGAAGTCGGCCTTAATCCGTCTGACTGTAGGTCGCAGACGTATGACGGGGCAGGTAACATGGCAGGTTGTCATAAGGGTCTGGCAGCAAGATTTAAAGAGAAAGCACCCCGTGCAACTTACTTTCATTGTGCCAGCCATGTTCTGAACTTAGTAATATCCAAAGCGTCTAATGTCAGAGAAGTGAGATCAATGTATGGAACTCTGCGGACAGTTGGCGTCTTTTTTAAGAGTTCCCCTAAAAGGCAAAGATGCTTGGAGAAAGCAATCTTGGACGTCAACAAGAAAAGGGAAACCGTTCAACTGCCTGTAATAAGAGCCAAAAAAATAAAGAGCCTGTGTGAAACCAGGTGGGTAGAGCGCCAACAAATATTCGAGGACTTTAGAGAGATGTTCGAGGCACTTCTCGATGCCCTTGTGACAATTGAAAGAGAGGTCGGTTGGGATTCAGATGCTGTCACCCAAGCAAGTGGGCTGGCTACAAGTATTTCAAATGCAACATTCATTGCAGCGTTTCACGTCTGCAGGTACGTATTTGGGTTCACGAAAGCCCTCAGTACCCAGCTTCAGGGAAGCAGCAAAGACATTCTTGAAGCTTACGAAGATGTCAAACTGATTAAGGAAGAATTGAAAGCAGTGAGAGGTAATACCAAGGAAGAGTTCGAAACGTACATCTTTCCTGAAATGGTGAAAATGAGTAGACTTGCTGGCCAAGAACTGCAAATACCTCGAAGATGCTCAATGCAAACCATGCGGAGGAATCTTCCTGTTGAGGATGTATCCGCTTATTTTCGAATCGGGATTTTCCATGAATTCTTAGACGGACTCAACACTGAAATGGATGAAAGATTCAATGACCTTACATCTCAAGCTGTCAAGGCCCTTGCTCTGATTCCAGGAAATCACCACCTGCTTGACTCAGATTGTATTGAAGAATTACATCAATTTTACGGACCAGACTTGCCTTCATCCGATTCATTTCCTCAGGAACTGAGACTGTGGAAACGCCTCTGGGCAGAAAACACCAATGCATCACTATCACTCACTGATGCGTATCAGCAGTGCAACATTCGCCAATATCCTAATGTTTATAGGATCTTGCATCTAGTGATGCTAAAACCTGTGACCAGCTGTGGTGTAGAGAGGGCAAATTCTTCCTTGAGATTTATTAAGTCTCCATTCAGAAGCACCATGAGCGGAGTTCGCCTAAATGCCCTGATGTTGCTCTTTACCCACAGGGAAATTAAACTCAACTATGACAAGGTTATTAACCTATTTGCAGCTAGGCATCCTCGTAGAATGCTCTTGAGAAATCCACTTCAACACTAATGAGAACATTCAGTTAAACTGGTTTCCGTGTTTCTATTAATCCTGGGTGAGGCATCATGCATGGATAGAAGATGGATTGCACGATGAAGAAATTGCTGTAGAAAATGTCTATTCTGTGAGATGCCAAGCCTCATCACATCACTCTTTCAAATCAACATCGCCAAACCGTCAGGCACAAAGCAAGCCGTACCTTTGGGCCTCCTATACGCAGGACTCTCTCTCTCCATTGTTCAAAAGAAGTAAAGGCCAGGGCCTACACCACTCTAGTTCACCCTCAACTGGAATACGCTTCAGAGATTTGGAATCCCTACAGCATCACAGTAATTCAAGGTCTGGAGCGAGTACAAAAAGCAGCTGCTCGCTTCCCATACGGTAATTATAGGAACACCACTCATCATCACACCTTGTAACATCACTCGGATGGGATCCCCTCCACACTCGTCGCCTTTTGGCACAATGTATCTTCTTGTACAAAATACACTATCAATTTGTGACACTTCCATTCCCACCCAACCTACTTCGGTAATGGTGATCATGACTGAAGTATGCTGTTCCAATGGCAACCAGTGATGCCTTCAGGTTATCCCTCTTTCCAAGAATTACTAGACTCTGGAACAGCCTACCCAGTCAAGCTGCAGTAATAACTGACAGCTTTAAAGAGGCTGCCCTCCCAGCCGTCAGGGTGATGCAGCATCCAGTGGGCTCCATTGTACTGTAGATAGAGGGGAGCAGTTTTTACTTGCACAAAATACGTAATGCAAATTTCACTGTACATTGTTGCTCTGTATTTTGATACACCACCACATGGTACTCCCTGTTGGCACTTGACCTCAATCATCCCTGTATAGCTTGCCATGTGAGCTGATTCAAGGGATTACTTCATCAAGTATCAAGTACAGTTGGATTTGGTAAGACTTGTTCGATTTGTCTTTTCATTGCTCTTTTAACATTTTCTGAAGACTTCTGAAATGTTACACAGGCCGCCTTTCTGACCCATGGTAACATATTTGAATGAGATCTGCAGTTTGCACAATTGTTAGTCAAATGAATTGAGTGCAAGGGGGATTATAATGATTTATTGCCTGTAATGCATGGCCTAGGCTATAATCAGGCAGTGAATTGGGGCTTCTTGAGTTTAGCTCTGTCAGTCACTTTCTTCACCGAGGAGCTTAACAAGGAGCTCAGATGTTGAATGAATGTATCACACCATATAAATCAAGCTCATGGAATAATATTATGGACAGCTGTTAAAAATTTGGTGTAATTCACCTCAAAAGTGAAGCCAATCACATCCGCGCGAGTTCGATTTACACCATAAACAAACCAACACACACACACAAACGGGATGATAATGGAGAAAATACGAATTGAACTAAAATCACCAATTATATTACATGGTAAAAGAAAGAAAATACCAGGAGAGGGGCAAAACGAAAAGGATATTATTAATGATGATGGAAGCAAAAAATAAACTAAAAAATGAAACGACAATAACATCAACCAATGGCCGGCTGCTTGGGATAGGCTGTCCCCTAATGAAATTCAATTTATTTTATTTTATTTGTATGCAAGGCAAATTTCTAGGTAGAAATGTGTGTTTTGATAGTAGACACGACTTTTTTTGGCTCGCTCGCTCCGCTCGCTCGCAAAATAACACGTCAATTTTTTTTTACCCGGGGGCTGTCATCAGCACCTTCTAATTTTGGGGCTCATTTTCAACTAACATCAACAGTGACTTCAAATTCTATATTTGATACAAATTTGTTTTAGTGTTATTAAATTTAAAAATAAAGATTGTGAATTTGCTCTTAATGGCTTAAAAGACTCGTGATGTAGGAGAGAACATCTAAAATCGTAGAGCTTCCAGCGCCCTCAACCCCGCCCGCAAGGGATTTCGCGCTTCGGTCTCATTATGTGTGAAACGCGCACAAAATTTTTGTGCCCCCCCTTTTTGAAAATCCTGGATCCGCCCCTGCTTGCATAAAATCTTGCCTTCAGCATATCCCATTCCATCTCCACCTCATCCAAGATAACATTTGCAGTTTGTAGAGTCGGCTTGAAATGTTGGACAAGGACTCTCAACTCTTCATTTCCAAAGTCTATTATAAGCAGAGAACATGACACATTATAGTTATTTAAATCATGGTGAAACACAGCTTATCTGATTATTGAAAAATACAAATGTGGAATGGAAGAGTTTTTGCACACTGGATAAATTGCTTTGACATACCAACTTTGCATTTCATCTTTGCTTGCTGGCCAAAATTTGAAGCTGGAAATCCGAAGGGCATGAAGCAGACCGCTGGTCATATCACTGAACCTGCCATGAAGGGAAGACAGGAGACCTTGAGTAACGTTCATGATGGTATTCTCAATGTTCCCTGATCCAGTTAATGTCTCTCCCTTGAAAGTGTTGGCCTCCCCAAGGTCTTTGAGCTTAGGGGTTGTCTTCCTGAGAAAGTAAGTAATGGTTCAATTTAATTAATAATTGTTCTGAAATTAATTAAATTACTGTATCTCTATTTGTATTTTTTAATTAATTTAATAAAGGGAAATGCTTTCCACAATGTAACTTAACTATAATACATTACTGAATATTCTCTTCAAATTGAATGATACTTACTTGTCTTGGTATTTTGACAGTGTTGCAATCACAGAGGCAATGGACGCGGACATCACATCCGCCACTGTTGAGCTGGACAGTTGTGCAGCAAAGGAGACTTTAGACAGAAGCTGAGTAATATCTAGCATGAAATGGCAACACTTCATAACATCCTTCCTTAGCAGCTGGCGTCGAAAATTCCTGGACTTTGCCTGAGCATCAGCAGTGACTCCTGGCTGTACTTCAATCTAAAATAATTAAAAGGGACAACCGACTGAATTCAATGCAATGACAGTATTTCAAAAAGAAAAAAGATAAATAACTTTTTATTAGACAACTAAACAATACCACAGTAAGTTAGAAAGTATATTTTAAAATGAAGTAAGTATGCATCTAACAAAGTTTCTGGGCAACCAATCACATTATCACCAGTCTGGTCCACTTCATCTGATTCTCCCTTCAGAACTAAGTGTGAAAATGTTAATAAAAACATACCTGATGTAGGTGGGAGATTAGTGACTTGTGACCATTGATTACATGCTTTAGGGCCCTCTGAAGGTGAGGTAGCCACCGTGTGCCCCCTGCTTGTGTAGGGGTGACTCCTGATTCCTTGTTGGCTTCACTAGCGAGCTTTAAAGCACTTCTATTTTTGGAACTGTTCCTGTAAAACATGTAAAGGTTTTGCAAAAGGCTGCTTAATGTTGTGCATAGGGGGATCTTCTTCACTGCGTCCTTGTAAGCAAGTTCTAACCGGTGTGCAGTGCAGTGCACTGCTTGCACTGTGGGGTAGTCGTCCTTCAGTAGTTTGGCTACACCATTATTTTTCCCCAACATGATTGCTGCTCCATCAGATCCGAAGCCCAATAGTTTATCCTTTAGAACAGCTGGGTCCATGCGTAGCTGGTCATACAAGCAGTCCATGATAGCTGTTTTGATGGAGGTTGCATTAGCCGTCACCACGTTCTTTACACCATCAAAGTATGTGCACGTGGCACCATCGCAGCTGTACCTTGTGTAAACAATTTCAGCCTCTGTCACTGACAAATCTGTAGTTCCATCAGAGATAACAGATACAAACTTGGCTTTCTCCGAAGCATGCTTAATTTTTTTGTCGTTTTACCTACAATATTGTAGATAAAAAAGAGAATGAGCAAAATCATCACTTAAATGGTCCAGCTTTGATAAATTGGCTACAAACAACTCTCTTTTGTTAGTTTTTATGTGACTATCTCAATGAAATAGTATTTAAAAAAACAAAAACCATGCGGGGGCCAAAAAAAGAAGCTGGTGGGGACGCTAAACATGTTTTTTTTTTATTTGGCCTAACTTTCTCGACCCCGAATGATGAGGCAAGTCTTCTGCGCACTTCTGGTTTGCGTACTGCGCGCACTTACGCGTTCTTAATCAGTTTCAAATGTTACGCGTGGCAACTACTTTTTCAGTTCGTTCGCCACGGCCAGCTAGACAACAATTTTCTTTTACCGTTCTCTATTGTTCTCTCTCATTTTCATTGAGTTGTTCATTTTCTAAGTTGAATCTACATGTACACCTGTGATGCCTGTTCCGAGGTATGTAATGACACCTGCAGTATGAACAATAAACCAACTGTTACTCATATAGACAGGTTTCTAGCATCGATAATTCTAGAAACTATAGGTCCGATTGAGATCGCGTTATTGGAAATCGGCGGCATGTGTCAAAATGTGGGGAAATAGAATTTGAACCCTACATTTTAGTAAAAGAAAATTGGTTATGAACTGTAGATCTACTGAATGTGCTACCCAGTTTCTTCGTGAACATTTGTGGAGTGTAGCTATAGAACTTTGAAGTAGAATTACTGCGGGTTCCCTGTATTTCTTCACCCGTACCGGACAATTTCGGGCATCGATAAATCGTCTTGCCTTGATGATGTCGCCATAGAGGGCGCTATATATTTACCTACCGGTTTTATGACGCCGTAATATCATTTCTGTTATATTTCACGTCGGAGAACATCAAAGAATGATGGACGCCAAAGATAGTGTTTCTCAAATTTCACCCATGAGTAACAGAACATCAAGCTCAGTTCATGTGAAAGCAGCCGCAAAACGAGCTGAACTGTTATGTAGGCAACGTCTACTGACAAAGAAACAAGAATTAGAATCTAGACATCTTGCTGTGCAACAAGCTAGGCAACAGGAAGAATTTAGACTGCAGAGAGAAAAGGAAAACTTCGACCTGCAGGTAGAAATAGAAGTTTCTGAAGCCAGCATTAGTGCTATAGAGCAATATGAAGATGAGTTTGATCAGAAAATCAGATTCAAGTTGCCCGACGAAATTCCTCATCCGGCGGCATGTGCAAGTTCTGTGTGGGGTGATAGAATTGAAGCTGGAGCATCTGAAAGGGTCTCTTCAAATGAAGAGCCCAACAAGATTGAAAATCCATGGTCGATACCGCAAGACTTTCCAGGTAAAGTAGATGAAGTCGAAAACCGGATGCCAGAATTGACTCCGCAGGTGAATATAGGCCAGCTACACAAAGATTGTGCTCAGCTGGATCACCATGATGTGCCTGAGCCAACTACAGCACAACGGTATCAACCACATCTGCAGCCCGTTTCCGATATCGGTGAGTAGACGCAAATTTTGATCAAGCAACAAGTTAGAGCTGCGTTACAACAGATAGAAACCTTCAATGGCGATACACTGAAGTCTACAAGATTCGTCAAGTCCTTTGAGTTTGGTGTCGAAGACAAGACCACAGACGGTAGAGATAGACTGAATTATCTTTGCCAATATACCTCCGGAGAGCCCAACACTCTGGTAAGCAGTTGTTTACATTACCATGATGCTGAAGAGGGCTACAGCAAGGCTAAAGAGTTGCTAGCCAAAAGATACCGCAACAATCACAAGATTGCTCAGGCGGTTTTAAACAAAACCAATAATTGGCCTGACATCACAGCAGAAGATGCTACCGGCCTGTATAAGTTTTTGATATTCTTTCGGAGTGCAAGAACATGACAAGTTCTGTCAGCGCTCTCAGTGAATTAAACCACACCCAGAGCATCCAGATGTTGGTCGAGAAACTTCCGTACAGACTGCGCACCATGTGGAGAAACAAAGTGTATGAAGTGGAAGAAGAGAAAAAGAGATGCATTGTCCTTGACGATCTGGTGAGTTTCGTAGATCGACACTCTCAGATACTCTCCAACCCAACGTTTGGAAGGCTACGTGAGACTCCCCACCTAGGCCAGAATAACATTGGAGAGAAGAACAAAAGAGTTCAAGTCAAGAAAGAGGCATTTGGCACCGCTGTGAATAGCCATGCAGAGAAAGCAAGGCAGAAGAAGTATTGTCAATTCTGTGGCGGTAACTCCCATGACGCTACATTAGAATGCATGAAATTCGCGCAGCTGAGTTGGAAGGACAAGTCGTCATTCTGTTTCAAACACGGATTGTGTTTTGGCTGCCTGAGGGTCGGTCATACGAAATCAAGCTGTAAACAGAGAGAGTTAAGTAAATGCAGCAAATGTCCAGGCAACCATCCAACAGTTTTGCATAATGATGAGAAAATCACTAAGACGTCCCACCCAGCGCAGAACTCTCAGACCCAAGTCACAACGGGATGTGCAGGTGTACTAGGGGCTGGGGCGAATTTGCACGCATCTGGCAGTCCTCGAATGGCTATCGTACCCGTCTTAGTAAAGGCATCTTCAAGTCATGAATGCATTGCCACGTACGCATTTCTAGACAACGGATGTGGAGCAGTTTTCGCAGACAGCGAGATTTGCAGAGCACTGAAGGTGAGAACAAGGAAGAGAAGTATAATACTGAAAACCTTGAATTTAGAAGAAGTTGTCGACTCTGCTATCGTGATAGATAGAAGAATGACATTCCTGTGTCGCCAGAAGACATGGTTACGAAAGATGATCTGCAGGAATGGACCCACCTGTCACACATACAACTACCACAACTGTGCAGCCCAGCGATTCCAAGGGTAACCCTAATCATAGGTATGAACGTACCAGCTGCTACAACACCAATTGAGGTCATCAGAGGCAACTCGGGAGATCCTTATAGTGTTAAGACCCCTGTGGGATGGGTCATCTATGGAGTGCCCGGCAGACCCAAATCCCAACCTGATGCGAACTACATCAACGTACTAGATGGCTTGACCAACCTCGAAGATCAATACAAGCACTACATGAAAGGTTGGGCGAAAGCCAAGATGAAAGTGCACTGTCAAGGGAAGACATGCGCTTCTTAGACATTGTCAAAGAAACTACAGAGTTTCAAGGCGGTCACTATCAGATGGCACTACCACTACAGCGACCCACAGTAAGAATACCTGACAACCGCTCGCTGGCAGAAAAGAGAGCTGTTCAACTGAAGCGGAAGTTCGATAAGAACCAAGAGTTCAAAGAGAAATATGTGCAAGCTATGGAAGATACCATAGGCAAGGGTTATGTTGAAAAGGTTCCCGACAGCCAGAAGTTCAGAAGTGATGGTAAAGTCTGGTTCATCCCACATCACGGTGTTTACCAAGTTCAGAAGCAGAAGATGAGAGTGGTGTATGACTGCGCCGCAGAGTATGGTGGTGTTTCCCTGAACCGACAGCTGTTACAAGGGCCAGACATGACCAATGGTCTCACAGGTGTGCTGATGAGATTCAGACAAGAACCAGTTGCCGTCAAAGCTGACATAGAGGCAATGTTCTACCAAGTGAGGGTGAGATCGGAAGATAGAGATCTCCTAAGATTCCTATGGTGGCCAGGTGGAGATCCGAGTCGTGAATTAGAAGAGTATAGAATGACAGTGCACGTCTTTGGTGCAGCATCGTCTCCCAGCTGTGCCAATTATGCACTACGTAGGACAGCTACAGACAACGAACAGCGCTATCGCTCGGAAGTTACGAATGCTGTCAGGAAGAATTTCTACGTCGATGACTTTTGCAAGTCAGTACCAGATAAAGAAGAGGCCAAGGTCACCTCGAGGGAAGTGACAGACCTGTTAGCTGAGGTTGGATTCAGACTCACCAAGTGGGTCAGCAATCAGCGAGAAGTCTTCCGGTCGATTCCTAGAGAAGAATGGTCTAAGGAGGTAAAAGGCCTGCAGATTGATCAAGATGTTCTTCCACCAGAGAAAACTCTTGGAGTCTTGTGGTGTATGGAGAGTGACACCTTCGGCTTCGAGATCAATGTGAAAGATCGTGAACCCACACGTCGTGGTATACTATCCATTGTGAGTTCAATTTATGATCCGTTGGGAATGGTCAGTGCTGCCATTATGCCTGCCAAGTTGCTGCTTCAGGATCTATGCAGATTGAAGTTGAACTGGGATGAGAAGATTCCTCAAGAACACCTGCACAAATGGAACCTTTGGCTGATGGACCTACCCAAACTAGAATGCATCTTAGTAGATGGATGCTTCAAGTCTGAAGGCTTTCAGGATCCTGTTAGTGTGCAGATCCATCACTTTGCCGATGCCAGCTACCTGAGACTACAGAACAGATATGGAGATGTTCATTGCTCCTTTGTTACATCCAAATCAAGAGTGACCCCGTTGAAGCAGCAATCCATACCCAGACTTGAACTTACAGCAGCCACTGTAGCAGTGAGAGTACACAACTCGATAGTTAGAGAGCTGGAGATCCCTGTTGCCCAGAATTTCTTCTGGACAGACAGTATGACCGTCATCAAAGTATATCCGCAATGAGACAACAAGGTTCAAGTCTTTCGTGGCTAATCGACTTACAGTGATAAGGGCGAGTTCTCATCCATGTCAGTGGAAGTATGTGAGATCAGAACAGAATCCAGCAGACGACTGTTCAAGGGGACTTCCCATCGACAAGTTCATTGCCAATAGGAGATGGTTCCGAGGACCAGAGTTTCTCTGGCATGCAGAAGCAGATTGGCCTTCAACTTGCGTGACCGAGGAGCCAGAAGTAGATCGGGACCCAGATTGAAAATCTGCTGAGTCGGTCAAATGCAGTTAAGAAGCTGATAGAATACTACTCAGATTGGAATCGTCCGAGGAGAGCCGCAGCATGGTGGCTACGGTTAAAGAGAATCCTGAGAAAGAGAAGCAAAGAAGAATTCAAACATGATGCTGTGAACAACCTCACAGTGGAAGAAATAGAAGAAGCTGAAGTGAGTATCTTGAGATCATTGATCTCCATATACACAGACTGGATAGGACATCGCGTACGAACGTGCGTCCGCGCGCGCGTTTTTTGAAAAGGGTAAAGAACACGATTTCGCATTCGAGTTGTGTACACTTTCGAACGGAGGATTAAAAAATGAAGTTGGGTTTTCTTCGGTTTCTTTGTCATTTTTGAAAGAATGAAAGAAACAGAGATCTAAATTGATCAAAATCGACGAGGAGTATAGTCAAGGTGTGCGCAGCATTAGATTGCTGGAGTCGGGAAGTAAGGAGCGTTGAAGAAAAGGACAATTATTCGCAAGTAAGTTGTTTTTTAACGAGGCCTATACAACATGGCATGGAGGAATATAAACATAGCAAATTATAATATCGTTAGTGTTGTCGCTCTGAGTTTGAGGGGATGGAGGCCTGTGTGGTAGCTAGCGAGATATTCTGTTCAAATTCCATGCGATCTAGACCTGTCATGCTGTTCGCCGCCCATGTTTTTTTAAGACATAGGCCTAAACGTGCATGACTGACCCGGCAATGGCAATGAACAAAAGTTGATTTGTTTAAAATAGTTTATTCGAATAACCTTTATAACTTTTATATGCAAAATCTGATTGAATTATGTCTGCCTTGGCTTTAGCTCTACTCAGTGAAGCGCTGGAACTTCGGTACCCTCCGAGCTACCTTGGCTTAACGCCTACTCCAGAAGTTGTGGAGTTCAACGCAAGTATTTTTATGAGCTTCCAAGATGACTGTCACATTTTTGACAGTTTGTATGGTGAAGAAAGCAATGAGTACTTTTACGGTTTGAAATTATGTTGTGTACGCCGTTATATAAGATTACTAGCTATAGCCATATACACCGCCATATTCGCTCACAAAAACGATTCCCATTACACTTACAAGTAATTATATTTATTTTCAGAAGTATAGCTAAACATTTAATTATAAACAAGACCGTGCGTAGCTTGAATTATTCTTTGACATAATAAGTATAGTACTATCTTGGTTTGTGATTCATCTCCTTTCACACAATATCACAAGAGGTGAACGATGTCATTCCCTGATCAATCTAGGGACGGGAAGAAGTTTTTACTGATAACTTTGTAAAATTAAGGTTTGTTTACCTTTTAGATTGTAATTGATGTATGTTCAGGTTTTTTAATAAATATATCAATCATTTGAATGAATATCTATACAATTTCTCGTGTGAGTGTTCAGTTAAAAAAATATGATGTCATTTTAGCATATTATTAATACAATTATTCATTTCGTTGATGGAGTAATTCAGTGTGCTCTAATGACCAATGTGCCAAAAATGAAATGGCAATTAATTTTACTTACAATCATTTTTGGGAGGAGGAGGGATTTAAAAAAAAATAAGGGAAAAGGAAAGGGGAGGGGGTTCTTGAATTTCGAAAATGCATAATAAGAAAGTGTATATCAAGAAAGTGTGGAAAAGCTGTTTGGAGGGATTGAGGGTAACTCTTCATCGTTCAGTTATTTTTTTTAAAGATTGTTTTGGAGGAACGCTTGAACTCCCTTCTGTAAGAAAAATTCCACACAATAGTCCATTTTCCAAAGTAAACAAAGTGAAAGCACAATGCGCGTTTACCCGTCTGACAGTAAACGCGCCGCCATTGTTCGTCTGCGCATTCGTGCACAAACACGGCGCGATGTCCCATCCAGTCTGTGTATATGGAGATCAATGCTTGAGATGGGTTCAACATGAGGCATTTCCTCACCAGATGTAGAGGCTTCAAGAAATGAATGATGGCCCTCAAGATCTCACAAGGGAATCTCCAAAACAGCAGAAAGTGGATAAGCTGTTAGACCAGTTAGACCCAGTGATGCACAAGAGCTTGATGAGGGTCGGCGGTAGGTTACAAGCCGCTCAACTCCCAGAGGAAGCCAAGCATCAGATAATACTGCCACAAAGGTGCCACGTGACAGACCTGATTATGCAACATACACACCAAAAGATTCACCACCAAGGCATAAATCATGTACTTGCAGAGCTGCGCCGGAGATATTGGATTTTGAAGGCAGGAGTGTTTTTGAAGAGTGTGTTGAAGAGGTGCGTGATTTGCAAGAAAGTCCAAGCTAAATTGGGTCAGCAGAAGATGGCAAACTGACCCGCTAACAGGCTGCTATCTGAGAAGCCAGCCTTCACTAGCACCGGAATAGATTACTTTGGCCCCTTCAATATCAAGCAGGGCCGCAACATAAAGAAGCGGTATGGAGTAGTATTTACCTGCTCGACCAGCCGAGCAGTTCACATTGAGATTGCAGAGAGCCTAGACACAAGCTCGTGCATAAATGCAGTGAGACGCTTCATTGCCTGAAGAGGAAATATAAAAGAGTTGATTTCCGACAATGGTACCAACCTCGTGGGTGCTCATGCAGAGTTGAAAAAGGCGATGAGCGAGTGGAATCATGAAACTCTCGAGAAATTCGCAACTGATCGTGGTATCACCTGGAAGTTCAACCCGCCAGCAGCTTCACACTTTGGCGGCATCTGGGAACGCCAAATCCGTACCATTCGGAAGATACTACAAGCCATGTTGAATGAGCAGCATATGAGAGTGTGTAGAGATGAGGAACAACTCAGGACCTTGATGTGTGAAGTTGAGTACACAATTAACAGTAAACCGTTAACCCATGCGTCTGATGATCCTAAGGATTTGAACGCCATCACTCCCAATGATTTGCTCTTGCTGAGACCGAGCAGTCTATACGTCGCACCACCTGGTGTTTTCTCAGAGAAAGATCAGTATGCGAAGAGGCGATGGCGCAAAATGCAGTATTTGGCAGATCTGTTCTGGAAGCGATGGTGTAGAGAATACCTGATGGATCTTCAACAGCGCCAAAAATGGTTGTACCCTCAGAGGAACCTACACCCTGGTGATGTGGTGTTAGTTGCTGACAATTAAGCACCGCGCAGTTCGTGGCCCCTTGGAATAGTGGAAAAAACCTATCCCGACAAGAATGGATTGATCAGGAGTGCCGAGGTAAAAACAAGAACGGCTCTTCTGGTGAGACCGGTCACGAAGCTTTGCCTTCTCCTTGAGCAAGAAACTTCAGTTCTGAAGGATCACAATGAGCCATTGTGTAATGCACAACAGTTATAGACACTTTGAAGAGACGAGTCCCCGGCGTCTAAACTGGGAAACCTAACTGCAGGGTTTACCCTAGAGTTGAAATGGGTTTCTGGGACCCCAAGTCAGATTAAAAGGCAAGACTGACTTTAAGGGTCCTTTCAAGCTGTTGCTTAAGGATACCAACCACTGACTTTAAGGGTCCTTTCAAGCTGTTGCTTAAGGATACCAACCAGACAGTGGATCTTCACAAGGAAGACCTTCAATGGTCTACAGCCACCATTTCACCTGGAACACCTGTCAGTTCCATGCAGTGAGATTTAGTCAAGTTGTTAGATGTGTCCTTTTTGTTTTGATGAAATCTCACTTTCTCAACCCTAAAGGGGCAGGGGGCGGAATCCGCCCCCCCCCCCCTCAACATTTTCCGCGATAGCCTCTAAAAAATTTTTTTTCGCGACCCGAGCTGTTATGACTTTTTAGCCTCGAGCTTTGCGCATCTTTTGAGACCAAAAACATAAAAATCGGACCACGGGTTGCCGCATAGCGAAAAATTTTCCGGCGCTACGCGTCGTGAAAACTAAATTTTCGCATATACTGGAGATGGTCAAAATAACCCGGCCCCTTTAGGGTTAAAGCTTTTCTTGTAAAGCATGCAAAGACTGTTGTTATGATAACTTATAAACCTGTTTGATGAGTCTTTAACCTTATTGCTACAGGGATGCATGAATAGACACCATTTGCTGGAGTTACACCTGTGTGCACTCTGTATTCAGTGCTTCGGTTGACAAGCATCTAGTATTCTACAGGTTTCTCTTTAAAGCATAAACGATTGCTGCAACTAGTTCTATTTTTAAAATGCGTTTAAATTAGTGCCTGAGTCTTTTATAGTTTCATGATTTGAGGTAATTGTATGTTCGTTACATAATTAAGGGGCTGGAATGTTGAGGCCAGTCTTCTGCGCGCTTCTGGTTTGCGTACTGCGCGCACTTACGCGTTCTTAATCAGTTTCAAATGTTAAGCGTGGCAACTACTGTTTCAGTTCGTTCGCCACGGCCAGCTAGACAACAATTTTCTTTTACCGTTCTCTATTGTTCCCTCTCATTTTCATTGAGTTGTTCATTTTCTAAGTTGAATCTACATGTACATCTGTGATGCCTGTTCTGAGGTATGTAATGACACCTGCAGTATGAACAATAAACCAACTGTTACTCATATAGACAGGTTTCCAGCATCGATAATTCTAGAAACTATAGGTCCGATTGTGGCAAAATGTGAGGAAATAGAATTTGAACCCTACAGTGTGCTAAGGTTAGTCATAAGTTATTGTCCACTTTAAAACATTGATTTACTGTTAGCAAGTACAGTGTTTCTAGTGAATTGTTACCAACCAAATCATTTCAGATAAAAGCACATCAGACACATCAGTGCTGAGTAATTTGTCAAACCAGCCTCATTTGTAAGAGACAA